GCCGCACAAGCAATGCTTTCAGATTATTGTGTTTCTCTTTCGATTCATTTCGTACCGTACTTGCTCTTTGCACGGACCTGGAAGCTTATCGAATGTCTGCTCCTGATCTTCCCCAGTATCTTTTTGCAGCTGGATATGTTTGTACCATGATGATTTCTTCGCGGTGTCCAACGTGCCACTTACAAAAATTGTCTACGCTACATGGTAGTCACAGTTCACTCCGCTCCCGAGCCCCAGCCCGCCTCTAATGCTGACATCACCTCCCCACCCGCTCCCGAGCCCCAGCCCGCCTCTAACGCTGACATCACCTCCCCACCCGCTCCCGAAACCCAGCTCGCCACTAACGCTGCGTGCGGGGGGTGACGGGCTGGGCCGGCCGGCCGGCCTCGGCTCCGGCCTCGGCTCCGGCTCCGGCTCCGGCTCCGGCTCCGGCTCCGGCTCCGGCTCCAGGTCGGCTGGCGTCGGCTGGCGGCCGTGGCCGGTGCTGCTCCGGTGTGCAGACGCACGAGCGCGGGTGCAGACAGAAGCAGACGCCGCAGCCCTGAGCCACGCCCCGGCCGGCGGCTGTCTTCTTCAGGCACAAGCCCTCTGAATGGTGGTCTGGCGGCCAGAGCAGCGCGCAGCCGCGTCACTCGCCGGTGGCGACGGCGCTGGTCTCGTCAAAGCAATCGATGGTACGATCCCTACCGCGGGGAACTTTCACTGGTGCCGGCCTCCCCCAGGGTAGCAACGGTCATGGTCTTAGCAGTTACAGAAGACGGCTAGCAGAAAAATAAGCTGACGGAAACACACCAATGGATGTGATCAGCCTGCGTGATGTGCGCTACAATGGTGTGCGATCTCAATAAGTCGACGCCTCATGTTCATTCCTGCCGACGCTGCCGACGAAGAAGAGGCCGAGGTCAACTACCCTGAGCCATCTGCCGAGATCCTTACAGTTCTTCTATTGGCTAATCAAAGAATCGCACGAGCCTATCAGTACAATGAGAGATGAGTGGCAGGGATGCCGGTGCAAAGCCGACTTCGAATCCTGCATCGACCCGGCTACTTTCAAGAAAGCCGCTGCTGCTAGGTGTGAACTACGTGAAAGGTTCCAAAGCAATACTTGGTGTTGGTTTAGTGTTTCAGAGCGCGTCGGCATCGGGGCCAATTTGCGCCCAACCAAATCAATTCTTGCATTAGAACTTGCGCCAGAATTTTACCAGACAGTTGCATCAGCACTGTATGGGAAAACGTCTGATAAATATTTTCCACTAACTGTAGATTTCCTGTCAATAGCAAGCCTTTCACAGTGTTTTTGCGGCAGGTAAGGAAGCTTTGAGTTACTCACAATGCTTCCTGGAACAGCGCGGCTGTTGAACGATGAGGAAATTCAAAAGCCTACCACACAGAGCCAGCGTTAAAGCGGCTGGCCAGTGTAAACAGACCTCCCTCTCCCTCCTTCCCCCTCCCTCCACCTGTGGCCTGCCGTGACCCGATCTAACCTGCGCAGTCCTGCGGGCAGAGTGCGCCGTGCAGCTGCTCCAGCGGGTCACACACGCCGTCAGGACACGTGGCCAGGTCGGGGCTGCACGTGCCGTACTTTGACGTCATGTCGGTGGCGCGCGGCGGCCGCCAGCGGCAGGCGCCGGCGGCGCCCTCCCCGCAGCGGCGCTCGCACGCCTCGGCGTCGCTCTCGGCCGCGCACATGGCCTTCTCCGGCAGGGCCTCCCCCTGGCAGCCCTCGTCGTCCGACGTCAGCGTCACCCTGACGGTGGTGTTGACGTCGCCGCCCGCCGCCCCGCCGACGCCTGATGACGATGGTGGCGACGCTCCGTCGTCAGCCGGCGGACCCGACAGCGTCAGGTCGATTTGAGCCGCCGCTGGCAGGCGGTCAGGCGCCGCCAGGTACACGATGTTCCCTGGTGACGTCATGGCGAAGGCCGCGGAGGCGCCGAGCAGTCGCAGCTGAGCGCGGCCCAGCGCCGGCGGCGGTTGGAAGACGCGCGCGAACGGCGCCGCGGCCCGACTCAGTGTGACGTCATAGAGGGCCGACGCCGGCGGCGGGGCCTGGCTGGGGGCGGCGGGCGGCGTCGCCGGCGGCGCACACGAGGTCAGCAGGTTCACCGTCAGCTTCACCTGCGAGGCAGGGGCGAGGGTCAGGGGGCCACCGCCTTCCTGGGCCCGGGCGGACAACACCCGTGTACTGCAAACAACCAAACGTCTTTTGGTCTAGCGTTCTACTTGGGTGTTGACGGTATCTCGTCCTTCTGACGAAATGTATGTTCGCGGGGACCCCTAAGAAACAGAAATACAACGGATGAAGTACTGTTTGACGGAACTCTACTAGCGCTTCGCCTTGAATGGAATGTTGTCGTTTTCGCCGCACAGATCAACCTAGGTTGTTTTCCTTTGGCTTCGCATGCTAGATCCTCAACTAGACATTGAGTATAGCAAAATGCGTATGATTTTGCAGAATACCGCCTCCAGACGGACCTAAAGCGCCACGTCTCGTTTGTTTCGATGTGTTCTGGCAAGCCTTGGGTGCGCCAATGTTCAGAGCCGACGTCATCACATGGCATCACACGTATACCCGCATCACAAGCTCTTGTCTGCATGATCGCTCCCATGGCCTGGTCTAGCAGATTGTGTAGACATGGAGCTTCTCGGGGGGGGGGGGGGGGGTGTAGGCATGAAACATTTATTTGGCCCGGATTCTGAGCCTTTAGACATGAGCTCGGACGCTGTCACGCTATTTCGCAATCTCACCCAAGTCTACGCTCAATTCTTTAGCGGCACGTGGCGCATGCCGCCGTGCATTCTTGTTGTGGAACGAGAGCGACTGCAGTGACCACACCAGCGCTCGAGGGACGTGGCGCAATCGGGATTTGAACCCGGGCCCCACGTGGGATCCGAAGGTGCCATCCACTCGGTCGTTTTTCCCCTAGTATATACCTGGCATGCCTCCGTGTGCAGCTGACCCCACGCGGACGCACTTACGGCCTTTGTCCCGAAGGCGGGGTGAAGAGAGACGTCCTCGAAGACCACTTGCACCGAGTAGTTGTACTCAGCACCTAGCAGGTCGTAAGGGCGGAAATCCCGGCCGTACCGCAGCTCTGACAGCATAAAGGACCGGCATTGCATGACAGCGGTGAGCTTACTGTATAGACACTTAAGAAAGTGGTTCAGTCTAACAGACATCCGTATGATCTGATTAACATGGCGACGATTACAAATCATTAGGAGACCAAACGCAATTACCCAGCCACAGCAAAGCCATATATTGTACTTTACGGCCCCGTATTTTCAACTTGCAACAAAGGTTAATCATGAGAATAGATGTGGGCTCGATATCCACCGACAGCGACACCTGCCGGCCTTGTTTTTCAACAGATGGTGACCAGGCAGCCTCATTGGTTCCGCTACTGATATATGTCAACAAAAACCTTGGCTATTTGATCGTGTTCAGTTCGAAAGAACTGTTGCACTAAGCCACCGCAGGGAGGAAGCGCCAGCCCCCGCCGCTAAGCGCGGCTGGTAAGCGGCAAGAAGGTAAGCTGGCTGGTTGGCGACACCATCAGTCTAGGCTCGAATTTAAAAGGTCGGCGCTATCCGGACACGTGCAGCAGGCGATCCTGTCCGAACACTCGTGGGTGGACACGTTCGTGCCAGCTGATCCAGTGCTCCTCGGGGGCCGAGGCCATTCCATTTCGCCAACGCCCACGAAACAGCGGGGAAGCACGTCGTACCGTGGGCAATGTAGGAGGTTCTTAGAAAGTGTGTGGGAGAGGGCAGCGTCCGTTTTGAAGTTGACTCACTCCACCCTCTGGGTTACCCTCTCCACCCCTCACCCCCTCTCCACCCTCCACCCTCTCTACGTAGGGTTAGAGTTCACTCACAAAAAGTGGAGGGACTATGGCTCTGTGTCCCCCCCCCCCCCCCCTCCTTGCACCTAGGCCCACGGATTGGCATCATGCCTCCAAAACACTGTTAACACAAATTATTGATGGCTAGATGCAAACTGGGAACACATACCATGCCGAGCGTCGTGTCGACCTGTCACATGACACCACTGCCGCAGAGTTTTTGCACGAGAACGACAGGATATAAGAGCGAAAACGCCTCCGATCTGCATTATACGTTAACGTGTAAGCGCCTGCCTGAAATACATGTGGTCCAAATAATGGCCCCTCCAGTGGCGTGCGCTTTTGACGGCGCCGACCTTGTCATCAAACACTCTCATTACTTGTGAGCACGTAGCTGTCATGACTAGGATACATGTGCTGCAGGTCACCTTGAACGATTCTCCAGTGCCGGGCAATCCTAAGTCCCGTTAGCCGCGGCATGTTCGTCTTTGTGACATGGCTCCGTGATAGGTCGGAGTTCTCATGGCGTGGCACCGTGAGAGGCCGGGGCTCTAATGGCGTGGCTCCGTGAGGGGCCGGGGCTCTTATGGCGTGGCTCCGTGACAGATCGGGGTTGTTGTGACATGACTCTGTGTCAGGTCGGGGCTCCTATGGCATGGCTCTGTGACAGGCTGGGGCTCCTGTGACATGGCTCCATGACAGGCCGGGGCTCTTGGGACTGAAGGCTTGTCTGCGATGGTGAGCCGCATTATTTACCACACGACGGCCTTGCAAATGATATGGCAATGCCGGCTTCGCGGACCCGCTCTCGGGACCCGCTAGGGTGACCCACTCTGGGGACCCGCCAGGGTGACCCGCTTTTGGGAAAGGTAAGAAGGCACTGGTGACGCGATCCTTGCTAACAATGACGCGATAACAATGACGCGATAACAGTGGCGCGATAACAGTGACGCGATAACAATGACGCGATAACAAGGACGCGATAACAGTGACGCGATCCGCCATAACAACAAAAATGGGTAGAGAGCAGCTAAATCCATACAGTGGGAGAATAACGCGAGTGCGAAACGAATGTCCGACGGCGAGGTGCGAGGCTGCACCGAATACAGGAGTCCAACGCCCGCCGTGCCCAGCTTAGACGCCAGACGCCAGACGTCAGACGCCAGACGCTAGACGTCAGACGCCAGACGTCAAACACCAGATGCCGGACGCCAGACGCCAGACACCTGACGTCAGACGCCAGATGCCAGACGCCAGACGCCACACGCCAGACGCCACCTATGCCCGCGCAGCCCAGACGTCATTAAGAAGTGGCATGCATACGCGAGTTGATATGAGATGTTGCTAGAAGCTGTGAACAGCACGCCGCGGTTCGAGGTAAATAAAAGATATCAGCCAGCTAAAAGGGCCGGCGGTCAATAATTACAATGGGCCGAGGTTCTTCGTACATGGCTCCAGTGTTGCCGGGGCATGGAAAGGCTGATAACGTCATCGGCTTATGACCTCAGCTGCCGATGACGTCACCAGCTGATGACGTCAGCAGCAAATGACCTCAGCAGTTACATGCATCCAAACACAGCCGAACACCAGTCCCAAGCGGAATGTAGCGTCGGCTGACCTGTGAATAGCATGGTCTCCCAGTCCTCGCCGTCGTGTCGGCGGCCGGAGGCCCCGGACAGCGGGTAATGACCCGGCGCTATGCGCAGCAGGCCGCGGCTGTCGCCCTCCAGCCGGACGCTGTAGTGCTCCAGGCTGTGGTGGTCCAGGTCGCGGATGTACAGCTGCCGGGCCAGCCCCACCCGTTCGTCCTGCGAGAGCGCCGATCCAGGTCACAGCGCCGGGGTAGGATAGGTCAGGTCAGATCACTCGCCGCTGCTGCGAGAGGGCCGGTCCAGGTCACAGCGCCAGGGCAGGACAGGTCAATTCAGATTGCCCGCTGCTCCTGCGAGAGGGCCAGTCCAGGTCACAACACCGGGACAGGACAGGGTAGGTCAGGACGGGTCAGAACAGATAACCCGCTGCTGCTGCAAGAGGGCCAGTTCAGGTCACAACACCGGGACAGTACAGGCTAGGTCAGGACAGGTCAAAACAGAGCACCCGCTGCTCCTGCGAGAGCACCGCGACCAGTGTATGGCGCCGCCCAGCGGGCCGCTGGCACGCAGGCAGCGCAGTGCGGGTGTTGAGATGCGAGACTTGGGAAGAACTAGGGGCAGCCGCCAATGACACGGTCTGGGAGGACAAAGACTAACACCATGCGGCCCTCTAGCGCGGCTGGGCCGCACACGGCACCGGCTGCCCCAGCGCCTGCCACTTACGAAGCACTGCCGGGCTGTGTGTAGTTAGTGTGTGCCACCCACCACACGGTGAGCACCCCTGCAGCCCCGCTTGACTGCCGAGTCCCTGCCACCCGGCAGTGGCTGCGGACTTGTGCTCAACTCCGTGTCGTGTGACTCGAGAGTCGACAGATATTTATTCAGCTGATTAGTTTGAACCTTTGTTGTGAGTTGGACATATATATATATATATATATATATATATATATATATATATATATATATATGCGTGTATTCATATATTTACTTATACATATACATATACATATAAACCAGATCATCAACATGATTGTTCTACATAGACCATTATGAAATTCACGAGTTATACTAATTGCATCGTTTATTATGATGTGGCTGCTTTTTAACGTTATGTGATGCATGCTATGAAGCCCGGGACACCCGATAACCCCTAAACTGCTGTTGCTAGAACCAACTGCATCAAAAAATTGATCCCAGGGCTAAGTCACCTCTCATTGCGTCAGAACTAAGGCTGACTTGAAAATGTACCGCGCTGCTCGGGGTCAGAGTGGCAATCAGCTTAATATGCCGCGAGTTCAAAATAGATTTGGCTTAAGTGAAACTCATCACAAGTTTACTGGGAAATGATGCCAGCTTTCGAAGCGGGCTGAGTACCATACGATATCATATAAAAAACGGCTCCCTCCGAAATCGTCTGAAATGATTATGCGTCTAATGAGACGTCAATCCACCCTGTAGCGGAAGAGCCAGGTTCAAGCGTCAAATCAGCGTCACAATGACATTTTGACATGCGAGTTCGGCCTATCTTTCGAAAATGGTCATTTTCCTGTCAGCTAATCTTCTGCAGTGCGGAGGCGCCTGCTTCATCAGTCACGTGACACTGATGGAAATTCTGCCCTGTAATTTGGGGGTCCGGAAACGTCACATCCGCCCGGCGCGCTGCCCTGGGGCAGTCGCGGGGTGCCCGGGACAGGAAGAATGTTCGTGACGGGATCCTTCCGTTGCGTGACACGGCCCTACTGCATGGTCGCGTTCGAGAACGCTGTGACGAGTTTAAAGTCGGGCGACTTACATACCTGTAAGGCCACTTTGTGGGTGTAAGCCCGAGACACACGTGAACAACCGCTCCTTAAATGTCACGGGTGTCCAGCTCGGCTCGGAGAAAATTTTTGTGGCAAGACACGAGGTTCCATCTGCCCAAAAGTTACTCGTGCTTGGACCCCAGGGACCCCAGTGACCGCTACCGCTGTGCGTGCGCGCCTACCTTTTCGTTGACTCGTGTTTTTCTCTGGGGAAATGGTTTGCCTATTGCGCGTTACTGGGTGTTGAATGAAATAGCTTTTTATGTCAAGCCGCTTGAATTTCAGGATTTGTTTCATGATGCTCCGGGTTGAAAAAAGTCCTGCAAACCAACCAACTTACTCTGCACAATAACATCAGGTCCATATAAGACAGTAGGTACTGATAGCATCATTTCTCTCAAAAGGGAGGTAGCTGAAATATTGACACACCTATTTCTCCTTTATAATAGTTAATCGACGAGGAATAAAGATAACGGTACTGTCTTATCTATGTGTGGAATGCTCCTCGCAAATGTGCTTAACAACTCACGTAAAGCGGGATCCAGTTGAAAATACCGTGGCCAGGGGTGGGTCGAACCAGGGTATTTTTTGAAACGTCCAAAATGAAGATTACAACTACGAATAACTTCCAAAAGGACACATTTAAGAAAGAAGTACCATCATCCATTGTAAACAGTATCGGTATTCCCATTGATAATTGGTAGTGAAGGTGCAGTTTGGAGGGTAAGAAAGCGAGTTGGGATGCGCTGGTGGCGCAACGGCGCTAAAGGACTCTATCTACAACTCCGCTCTCAATGTCAGTTGGAAATTGCACAGTACCTGAATCGCAGCATTGCTTGCATCCCGTTATTTCACACCATGAGCTAATCGGCTGCTCCTCTGAGCGTCGGTGTCTTGTCCACATACCAGTCCTCGGAGCACCGGTGTCGTGTCCACATACCAGTCCTCTGAGCGTCGGTGTCTTATCCACATACCAGTCCTCGGAGCACCGGTGTCGTGTCCACATACCAGTCCTCTGAGCGCCGGTGTCGTATCCACATACCAGTCCTCTGAGCGCCGGTGTCGTGTCCACATACCAGTCCTCTGAGCGCCGGTGTCGTATCCACATACCAGTCCTCGGAGCACCGGTGTCGTGTCCACATACCAGTCCTCTGAGCGCCGGTGTCGTGTCCACATACCAGTCCTCTGAGCGCCGGTGTCGTGTCCACATACCAGTCCTCTGAGCGCCGGTGTCGTATCCACATACCAGTCCTCGGAGCACCGGTGTCGTATCCACATACCAGTCCTCTGAGCGCCGGTGTCGTATCCACATGCCGGTCCTCTGAGCGTCGGTGCCTTGCTCACATACCTTCTTTATTTCACGCCGTTCACAGAGGTAGACGTTGCTCACGGGCGCACTGGTCTCATACAGTTCTGGAGCGTGATTATTTCTGTCCAGCACCTCCACGTCAAACGTTCTCAGTAGTTTTTCCGACCCCTCCTCTGGAAACAGCAGAGATGTCCTCAGGGGAGCAGTGTCAGCAGACGTCTCTTAGGAATGCCATCCAACCAAGTGCCGATTTTGTGTGCTTAAGATGAAGGTCTCTTCAGTGAAAATGTCCCAAGTGCCTGAAATGTCTGCAACTGCAAGTGTGCGCGCCGCTGTGCAACAAAGAATGCATTGCAGGAAGCGCCAAACAGCGAGCCAAGCCTGAATTGTGCAAAGGTGGTCGCTAGTGCAAGCGCCGCTGTTAACGAAGCTTCCTCTGACTGTTTTTCTGCCGGCCCAGAGTAACTTTTCAGGAGAGCAACAAAGAGGGTCAGAGACAATTACCGATTGTTGGCGCGGCTCCTTTGTGCTCAGCGGCGGGTGAAGCCATTACGAAACAGAAGCAAACTCGCTGGTCGAACAAGCCCTACGAGAGGTAAAACTGCTGGCTGAACAAGCCCTGCGTGATCTATTATGGAACGCTGACAGCAACGGGCAGGCCAAATTGGCTCTCATGAAAAAACTCGTTAGGATTCTGCACCGAGATGAAACGGTGCAGTTGGTTGACACAAAGCGCGCGGCACACGCTGCTTTGGTCTCGAGTATTTCCGTGCGCTCCTGTCGTGCCACCTTACGGCTGGCCCGGCGTCCATCTTCAGATTGGCTGCGACGTGCGCGGCCACATTGCTGCTGATGAAGTGCAAACATGGCCGCGGTGGAATGCTGGAAGAGGAGGCCGTCCGTCGTCTGGTTTGGGCTGACAGCCCAGACCGTCCGCCGTCTGGTTTGGGCCGACAGCCCGGACTCCGACTACTCGCGCTCACCCCTGACCCGTGACCTTTGGCGTCTGACCGACCGACCCACCTGCGGCGGGCGGCCGGGCGCGTCCTGCGCCGGCCGGGTGACAGGAGACGGTCAGCCGGAACCGGCGGCAGCGAGCCCTCACCAGCCGGGCCGCGGAGACGGCCGAGCCTCGGGCCTCCTCCAGCTCCGGTGGGCTGCAGGCGGCGTCTGCGGCGGAGGCGCCGTCGCCATCTCGGTCAGCGGCCCCGGCCAGGTGGCCTCGGGGCTGGCGTGTCAGGGTCGGCGGCAGGTCAGACAGGGGCATCAGGGGGCGAGGTGGTGTCAAACCCAGCTGTCAGAGAATGGCAAGGGCGGTGTCAGGCTCGTGCAGCGGTGGAAGAGCCGGGCAGGTGTGTCAGGGCCGGGGCGGGTGTGTCAGGGCCGGGGCAGGTGTGTCAGGGCTGGGGCAGGTGTTCAGGGCCGGGGCGGGTGTGTCAGGGCCGGGACAGGTGTGTCAGGGCCGGGGCAGGTGTGTCAGGGTTGGGGCAGGTGTGATAGGGCTGGGGCAGGTGTTCAGGGCCGGGGCAGGTGTGTCAGGGCGGGAGCAGGCTTGTCAAGCGGCAGCACTTAGATCGGACTGCACTAGCGCAGTAGAGGCGCAGTAGAGCACTACTGGCGCATCTGACAAGCGGCAATGTTTAGGCGGCAATGATCGGGCGCCCAGCATTCAGCCCAGAGGCCATAAGCGGCACCTTTCTAGAGTAGTTGAAGACGCAAATGTATTTCGCGAACCACTTCCTTCGATGGGTCATAAATCTAACCTCGAAGCTGTGAAATGTTACGTGTGCAGCCGTGTTCTCCGGGCGAAAAGAGCGGTGTCCAGGAGCAGGGCGGCTGCTGGGGCGGTGTCCAGGAGAGCATGGCGGCTGCTAGGGTGGTGTCCAGGAGCAGGGCGGCTGCTAGAGCGGTGTCCAGCAGTAGGGCAGCTGCTAGAGCGGTGTCCAGCAGCAGGGCGGCTGCTAGAGCGGTGTCCAGCAGCAGGGTAGCTGCAGTCTCAGTCAGAAGGCGGCTGTGCTGCCGGACACTCACCTTCTGACGCCACCTGGTTCGCTCGGTATGAGTACTGGGGCTCCTGACAGGTGGTGTGCAGAGGGCACCGCAGGTCCAGGAGGAACGGAGACTTGTCTGCTGTGGCGGGCGGGGATGCGAACCACTGCATTCCGGCCAGGAATGTCCACGGCCCCCAGCAGAGCTCCTGCAATCAGCAACACCAAACTTAGGCCCCAGCAGAACTCCTGCAATCAACAACGCCAAACTTAGGCCCCTCAGCAGGGCTCCTGCTCCTGCAAACTTAGCCCTCAGAAGAGCTCCTGCAGTCAGTAACGCCAACCTTAGGCCTTCCCGCCCGGTCAGAGCAAAATCGTCTATGCCAATTTGGAGCAGAGGCTTTCGCGGCGTTGAGAAAACCCGTAGGCATAAGTATGCTTAGTGGTTGTGGAGCGACGTGGTGGGTTGAGAAGATCTTTGGCGAAAAATAGGGGTAAAAAGTGTGGGGTTGATGGTTGAGAATGGTGGGAGCGTCAAAATATACTGAGTGCATGTTTGGAAAACGCCAGAAATTACCGGCTGCGTCCACTCCTTACATTTACCTAATTTTGCGCGTCATTTGCGATTACCAGAGCAAAGGCATTGAGATTAGGTGGTGAGCCTAGATGGTCCTAAATCTTATCCATAATTAGTCTAGGTTGTGATCCTATGTCTTCCTTAATCTTACCTGTGAAAAGTCTGGCTGGTGAGCCAGGACGGCCCACAATTAGTATGGGTGGTGAGCTAGATTTTCCTTAATTTCACCTACAAATAGTCTAGGTGATGAGCCTATATGTTCCTTAATCTCACAAACGACTAATTAAGGAGGCACCCTAGATGTTTCTTAATCTCACCCATAACTAGGAGCAAAAAGAAACAAGACATGGTAGACGGGTCAGTAGGGCCTGTCACGGAGGAGGAGCGCGTGTGGTCAAATTCAGAGCCGGTGTGGTCTGTGGCCAGACCCCACGGGTAGACGGTGGGCAGGGTAACACGAACCCCAACCGCGAAGGCCTCTGCTCGGCAGGGTCGATGAAGGCCGACCCTTGTGACCTTAGCGGCGGTATGTGCCGACAAATAACCGGATTATTATTGATAAGGCCAGCCCGCCACCGCACGGCGCCAGAGACTCGCCCATCGAGGAATGTGGCGAGCGATGGCATCTGGAATGGCTCCCGGCTGACGCCTGAATGGCATATGATGTTGATCGCGAAGCATATTTAACAGCAAGCATGCATACCTGCACACCACAAATGCTCGACCAGTGCGCATTTTGTTTTTACTCGGGATCAACTATTGCTCGAGGAGCTGTGTCACGCGATGTAATGACTTTGTTCGATGTTTGAGGGACATGTTCACGAGTTGGTTGAAAGCAATAACGCCTTTTTGGGTGTGTGGCGCTACCGAACGAATCACGGGTAAAATACGATAGAACAGCCGTGTTGGACGGTCGCCAAAGCCGCCGCCGCGAGTGAGCGAGGTTAGACAGGGCGTCTAGGCAAGAGGATGCCTTATGTAAGGCCGCACCACGCCACCAGTTGTAGTGCGGCGTTGCGGCGCGGTGCGAGGCAGCCACAGCTGAAAGGTAGCGTAGCGTTGCAACCAATGAGATTCTGCGGCGCTCCCACACTGCCACCTGCGTGCGAGATGTCAATGAGCGCCACCTCTTGGCCGATAAAAGCATAAAACTTCAGTGAACTATTCATACCACTGTCTGTCGTCTTGACTAGATGAGACTTGCCGCTGCTGTTTCCTTTATATCACGGTGCGCGTGATTTTGAATGTTATATTGCTGGTCAATTCCGTTCCGTTTCGTATCGCAGCGCTACGCAACAAGAGGCCGTGTGCGGGGTGACCTACAGGGTCGCCGTGTGCCGGGTGACCTACAGGGTCGCTGTGTGTGTGGATGACCTACAGGGTCGCCGTGTGTGTGTGGGATGACCTACGGGGTCGGCGTGTGGGGATGGCCTACGGGGTCGCCTTGTGCGGGGTAACCTACAGGGTCGCTGTGTGTGGGTGACCTACAGGGTTGCTGTGTGCGGGGTGACCTAAGGGGTCGCCGTGTGTGTGTGGGATGGCCTACGGGGTCGCCGTGTGCGGGGTGACCTACAGGGTCGCCGTGTGTGGGATGGCCCACTGGGTCGCCGTGTGCGGGGTGACCTACGGGGTCGCCGTGTATGGAATGGCCTACGGGGTCGCCGTGTGCGGGGTGACCTACATAGTCGCTGTGTGTGGTGACCTACAGGGTCGCCGTGTGTGGGGCGATGGCCTACAGGGTCGCCGCGTGCGGGGTGACCTACAAAGTCCCTGTGTGTGGTGACCTACAGGGTCGCCGTGTGTGTGTGGGATGGCCTACAGGGTCGCCGTGTGCGGGGTGACCTACAGGGTAGCTGTGGAGGGGTTTCTTACAGGGCCGCCGTGTACGGGGAGTCGCCGTGTGTGGGTGACCTACAGGGTCGCCGTGTGGGGTGACCTACAGGGTCGCTATGCGTGGGGTAATCTACAGGCTCGCCGTGTGTGAGATGACCTACAGGGTCGCTGTGTGCGGGGTGACCTACAAGGTCGCTGTGTGTGGGCTGATCTACAGGGTTGCCGTGTGCGAGGCGCCCTACAAGTTGCCGCGTGCCGGGCGGCGACTACGCAGATGCCAGCATGGCTTGGAAATTGGCTGCGTTTGTGCTGGTGTCGGCGTATCAAGTGAGTGAGCGTGAGCATTTGATAAGTGGAGATGGGCGTCTAATTTTTTAGGGCGAGCATCTGATGAGCGGGGGTAAGCATCTGATGAGTGAGCGTGAGCATTTGATGAGTGGGGTGAACATCTAATGAGTGGGGGTGAGCATCTGAAGAGTGGGAATGAGCATCTGATAAGTGGGGGTGGGCATTTGATGAGTGGGGAGTGAACATCTGATAAGTGGAGGTGAGCAGATGATGAGTGGAGGTGGCATTTGATGAGTGGGGGTGAGCATCTGATGAGTGGGGGTAAGCATCTGATGAGTGAGCGTGAGCATCTGATGAGTGAGGGTAAGCATCTGATCAGTGGAGTGAGCATCTGATGGGGGATTTGAGCACCTGATGAGTGGGTGAGTGAGCCTCTGATAAGTGAGGTGAGCTGCCGCCCAGCACGGCGACGCGGCAGTGGGAATGGCCAGTGCTGTTCGAGGTTAGGTTCGTGGGTCGCGGTGTGGAGAAAATCGCTCTCATCCGGATTAGCCACGCTACTCCGCCCACAACATGCCGTGACGAACAAAAGCCGACCCTCATGGCCTTTGTTGACCGGAGCTCTTGGTAGCCACGCAGACATCAAGCGACCGGGCATGCGAGCCATCCATAATCGACGCCAGTGTGATGCAAGCTTGCTTGATGACAGTACTTTATGTTTATGTCGCTTTACACTGGGACAGAGCCACGCAGAGGGCGCGACCGTCGATCACGTGACGCTTTGGCTCAGAAAACCGAGCCATTTGAACTCACAAATCTTGCGGAGCAAATACGGTTGTTTGCCTCTGCTGAGATGCCAAAACAGGGAACGTGTCCTGATAACATGGAAGTACAAGGACGCATCTCGGCTCAGTTGGCAGCACGAGAACGGAGATGTCCGTACTTCCGCTAAAGAGACAGCACAGGAACTTACTTCTGGTGATGTGACGTCACATGCCGTCATCAGAGCGCGCTTGACCCCAGTTGAGGGGCTATCACATGACATGTGCAAACGTCCCTCCCCTGGGGCGGCTACACAGGAATATACCAACGCTGAAACAGCGCCACAGGCCGTCGTCAGCACGTACACATTTTTACTGAAGTAAAGTCATAGTGACGTACCTCTGCAGAGATGGCGTCACAGTCCGGCGGGTTGCGTGTGACCTGGATCTCCACGGCCAGCACGGCTCGTTCGGGCGCCGCCTCCCCCTGTAGGCCGGCCACGATGTTCAGCCGGTACCGCCGTCGCTCTACCGACGTCAGAGGTCAGGGGTCAGGTCAGTGCAGGGGCCAGTGATCACAGGTCAGTTCGGGGTCAGGTATCAAGTCAGTTCGGGGTTAGTCCAGGTCACGGTTCAGGTCAGGATTCAGGCAAAGGGTAAACTCAGGAGTCAGGTCAGACCATAGGTAGGCCGGTTCGGGTTCGGTTTTTCAGGTCATGTGCCAGGTAAGATTTCAAGTCAGGAGTAAGGTCAGGGGTCAGGTCGGGGTCATGGCAGGGATCAGGTAAGGATAAGGTCAGTGATCATGTCAGATAGGTCAGGGGTCAGGTAAGGGTTAGGTCAGACCTCAGGTAAGGGGCCAGGTCAGGAGTCAGGTAAGGTGTCAGATCGGGTTTCAGGTCGATCAGGTCAATGGTCAGGTCAGGGGTCAGTTGAGAGCAGTGCTGTGGTGGGGCCATGCGTTTGGCTGTTTAACTTGCCCCTTACGGGCGCGACATTTCCGTTCCGCTGTAACATCGTTTGGCACAGCTGCAGAACCACCTGGCTACCAGCCTCATGAAGTTTGCAGCAACCTATGCCAAGTAAGTGACACTTTGTGGTCATCATGGCTCCCTGAACCAAGCTAGCCTTTTAGCTCTGATTGTTAATAGTGAGTGTTTTAAAACCATAACCGATCGGAGGTATCCACTTTTGGAACTGACGATGCCACTCGCTGACATGCAAGGGCTATTTGTATCCGGAAAGGTCATAAATACGTATAGACATAAATAAATAAATAGATAAATGATATGCATAAATACCGCGCTGGCGTCGAACTTTGGGTGGCAGCAGCGGGTGGGAGGGGAGGTCGGCTTCCCAAGCTGGCGTCGGACCGGGCGTGGCGGCAGCGGGCGGACAGGGAGGTCAGCCTCACACACTGGCGTCGGACCGGGGGTGGCGGCAGCGGGCGGGCGGGGAGGTCTGCCTCCCACGCTGGCGTCGGACCGGGGGTGGCGGCAGCGGGCGGACAGGGAGGTCAGCCTCACACACTGGCGTCGGACCGGGGGTGGCGGCAGCGGGCGGGCGGGGAGGTCTGCCTCCCACGCTGGCGTCGGACCGGGGGTGGCGGCAGCGGGCGGGCGGGGAGGTCAGCCTCATACACTGGCGTCGGACCGGGGGTGGCGGCAGCGGGCGGACAGGGAGGTCTGCCCCCACGCTGCCTTTGGCAGGCTATTCAGGCCTATACTTTGTCTCGACCTGACATTTAAGGAGACATTCAAAAGCCATGGTGTGTCCAGTACACAGTGTGCATGGTTAGCAGCAACGGGGCGTTAGGAGGCCCAGCCACGACCAGCAAAGCTGCTTTGTATTAATTGATGTGAGGCATATGCTATGAAAGGAACAGCTATCGTTGGGAGTGATTGTGTCATCACAAAGGTCAGGAGCGTGCAGCAAAGTCAAGATATGAAGTGGAGGAGAGCCAAAACACAGCCAGTCATATTGGCAGATGGCAATATGCGACAGGAGCACGGTAGAAGACCGAATCTTACGGGCATAGCTAGGATCTTGAGAAGGTGAAAGTCCATCATGGTCTGGAATACGAAGCCCTAGTAGACGAAAAAAATAACACAAGAGTACGGAAAACGAATTAATAATGCAGATAAGCTTGATTATCTCAACCAGCCGAACAACAGGAGGCCCCTGTTTTGATCAGTGTCACAAGCATCTCCGATAAGACGCTTGCCGTGGACTTCAGACCCATGACCGTAATACGATAGTCGGACATGGTTGAGAAACATGGCGGCGTCCTGTCAAAATCAAGAGCATGTTGAGAAGGCAGGGAAGGATATGCGCCGCAACTCTTCGCACTTGATGGCAGAGGTGCGTGGAACAGTAGTAGACCTTCGTCACAGCAGATATAGTCATGCGCAGAGGGATAGACGGTCCTCTTCTCACGCAGAGTGGGCTCCTTCGTACGAGCACTGGGAGACGAGGAAGAGGTCCCTGGCGAGACTTGTAGCAGGTCCTTGTAATCGAGAGGAGGCCCTGGCATTGTGTGGACGAGGTCCCTGGCGAGACTTGTAGCAGGTCCTTGTAATCGAGAGGAGGCCCTGGCAGTATGGTGATTTCATAATATGGGCAGTAGTGTTTAGTATGTGGTGTTCTAAAGCTCATTTCTACAGAAAGCTGGATTACTTTTGCCTTAAAACAGTGGCAGTACAGCCAACTTCGCTTTCCCGAAAACGCCTCGGCGTTCCTAAGGAACATCTGGATGTGCAGTGAGGCACTGCATTGTAAAACAACTCTCGGCATAACTAAAGCTCTTATGTCCACAAACGTGAGTCAGAGCATGGCGCGGATTAGAAAATGTACCAGCTTACTGTACCATGGTATGTGTACCTGACCTGTGCCAGAAAGCATCGCCTTACGTTTTGCCTTTTAATCAGGTCGTCCAGCTTTGACTGGTCAGAATTCTTTCGATGCCCTGCAGCCTGCGATATTCTTCGCTTGATTGTGCACACTGTTTGAGCCACTCACCTGGACTACCAGGCGAAGAGTACTGCCAAGCCGCGGAGTGGCTGAAGAGTTCGGGCACACTGGAGCCGGAGTGGCTGAATAAAAACACAAGCCTCCAAAGACTGAGTCTCAAAATAAGTTACATTTTTCGTTTTACTCTTGTGGCGTTGTTTCTACTTGATGTGTGACTAAATGGTACTGAGATTTTACACAAAAATAACACAATTACGGTGGATCAATGGCAAAATGCAAGCCGAACCGGAGCCTGTGGCGTTGAAAAGCCAACATCCAAAAAAGTTTTCCATCCCCGCATAAACACCGCCCCCCCCCCCCCCCCCCCCCCACCCTCCGCCAGTAAATTCGTGCCGACACCCATATGGATGACGCTGATGTTCGGCAACACTTGTCGAGCTTGAAAACGTCTCCGTCCCCACTCGTTACAAGAATATCCAGATAACTTGACCAGGACCGTGCCATCCGCTGACAGGGCTGAATTGCGATCGATTTACACCGCACTCGACCTGACTTCGCAGTGGACTTTGGCTGTTTCGGGGCAATGAACGGCCTCAGAGTAACCTGAACACGGCCTTGATTATCGTAGCATCTACACTGCTTCTTAAGTGTACAGCAATATAGTGGACTCGCACTCCTGGTGCTACTGCATTCGTGAATGTCCTAATTTATGATAATGCATAGCACAACACTTTAAGGCAAAACGGAAAATGCAAAGATGTAAGTATAATTCAAATCCTAAAATATCTGGCCGATACGAAAAATAAGGTTGGAATATTGGAGCTGCCCCTACATAAGTTGACACAAGAGAACACAGCTTCCAGAGCTGTACAGATGGAGGTTTGCGGTTGATACGTGGTGCGCAAAAGAATACCAGCTACAAGCAGCACGATAATCTTTAGAAGATTCGCGCAGCAAAATTAGCGTGTGGCGCCAGGAATAAAGAAATAAAAGCACTGCACTTGTGTGTTAAATAGCAGTTCTGTTATCTTGTACTGCATTGCATCGTGTTGTTTTGAAATTAATAGCCGATGTGTTCATCCATCTCGGTGACTGTCAACGCATAGGTCGGATGGGAAAGTACTACGCGTAGGGTTGAAATGGTTGGGTGCACAATTAGAATAAGATAAAGAATGTAAGGTGATGTCCAGAAGTAACACCAATGAAACATTGCCACGCTTGCCGCAGCACCGGGGAATAGCCAACAGAATTGGTAAACACGGTTTCCATAGTCACGTGACCTGGGACGGTCGTGATGGTAAAATGGTAGAATGCTACAAAAGGTCCGAGAGAAATGCAATGTCGTCGCATCACCGCCTCAAAGAACACTGTTGCCTTCAATTTTGATTCGGGCTACAGCGACCGTTGATAATATATGTATATGTGTGTGTGTGTATATGTATATATATATATATATATATATATATATATATATATATATATTATGTGTGTGTGTGTGTGTGTGTGTGTGTGTGTGTGTGTGTGTGTGTGTGTGTGTGTGTGTGTGTGTGTGTCTGTGTTGATATAAACTTAAGTTGTCTTAACAACGACCCGGACGACAAAGCTTATAGGTGACGTCAAGTAGCATATTTGTGTCTCCCTCTGCACACGGCCGGTGTGCCCCGCTGCCCGGGCCTCAGCGGGGCCAGCCGGCCGGCGCGCGGCAGCCGGCGGCGTCCGTCTGCTCGGCAGGTCTGTTTCGTCTGCAGCTCGCCGCCGCCGCAGGCTGGTGTTCGTCGGCTCACGCGCCGGCGCCGGTGCCCCTCCCATAGTTTACCTGGCGGACTCGGCCGGCCGCGGCGGAGGGTGCTTCGAGGGGAAGGGCTGCGAGGATGAGGCTTGGCCCGGCCAGGGGATGAGGTCCTGCGGACACCAGACGCACGTGCGCAGGGTCCGGGCTCTAACGGTTATCTACACGCCCGTGTGCTTGTCTTATGTGCCTGTGTCCTTCTCAGAGAACGTCTGAGAGCACGGTCCGTGCAGCAGGCGGGGACGGCCAGCACCATTAGCTTTCTGGCCCGGACCGGTAGCCTTTAATCCCCCCCCCCCCCCCCCCGGTCCTTCCAAACCCCGTGTGCGGCCTCACACGTGGTGAATAAATAAAGACATGACTTCAAGGATAACTTAAGCCATTTTGTCACGCTCTGCCATGGAATGACATAATTTACACTAAACGCGAAACGCTATCGTAAAACTTACAACTTAATGCAGAGCTATCTGCAAGGTCTGTTGTTAGGACTCTGCAAGTGCAGGTGTTTGATACTTCGAATTCGTATATTGCCAAAACAAAAACCACACTTGCAGGCGTAACGGTACAAAAGTCGACGATGAACCGGATATTGCATATTTACCGGACGTCCATATTCGAAAAAGAGAGGTTGGATGTCTTGCAAGTAGTTTCATCACATGAGGAATCCGTTTTTAATTACGTCGCATGCTATATAACGTAATGAAACGGCCTCATTTGATACGCTTCGTCATGCGGCTTGATGACATGATGCAACGAAAGCCGCCATGCCTCGGTTCACGCACAATCCAGTGACCCTCTTGCCCTCTCCCCTCCCTTAGTGAGATCTACAAAACTGCCCCCCCCCCCCCCCCCAGCCAAGAATGCCATCGCTCTCGTCCATGTCCGCGCCGCACGCCAGCTCTGGTGTCATCAACGGCGGCGATGATCGCCATAGCGACGGTCCATGCACGGCCTGTGTCGTGACGCATTGCACGCGACGGCCTGTGCCCGGTTCCTCCGCACCTAGCGGGCACGGGGCCGGGGTGTGGTGGCAACGGTGCCGCCTCGTGCAAGGGGTAGGGGAGGGGGCTGCAGGGGAGGCATGCATGCCACGGCTTCGTACGGAACACTCACTAGGTCGGTGAGTGTCGTTCTTCACATATTCATCACGGCATGCTGGTGTTATTTGTGACACGACCTTGAATGTGGTGAGCTTATAACTGTCGACAGGCGAGCTACGGCATTGTGTGCTCTTAAACCAAACCCTCGGTCCATGTTGATAAGTAAATGCTTGCTCATTTATGTGTTGCCTACTTCACCAATTCGGCAATTACTGTGCTTCTTTATGCAATCAATGTCAGTCACTATCATATCGCCACGTCGTATCATATCACGCAATATATCAGCCCTACTGATGTGATGGATTTAGTTGAATCGGTAGGTGACTTGTGGCTTGCCTCCTCATTTGGAATGACAGCCTGCTGGGAAATAAGTTAGGTTTCGTACGGAAGCATTCAATTAACGGGTTCTCCAACAGTGCAAAGTGTCACCTCGTCATACGTACGGTGCCTTTATCCCGTCATTCTGAGGGACGGACAGAGTTCATCCCATTATGGCGTAGCAAGATCTGGAGCTCTGGCAGCCCAGATCATTGTGATTGGTGCAGCATGAGACAGTGCGCCAGTGGCGGAGGTTGGTGCACGACTTCGGCCTGTCGGGCCAATAAGCAGTTTTCGCCTCTGGTCAAACAGGAAGTGATCACCGTATGCACCAAGGCGCTGTTTGACTGTGTAAACGGCGATAAACGGATCAGTTGAAAATCGTATGTCAAATAAGAGTTACGTTGAATATATGATTTAGACCTGGTATCAGGTCAAGCAGATCAACTCGGGCTTCCAGTGTGGCTGGGCTGCAAATAAGCCAAAAACAAACCGCGTAATGTCAGCATGATCAGCTGTTACGCTTTCTCCTGTCCTTTGGGCGTGACCTTGAGGTCAAGCTGGCCAGGCCAGGGTGAGAGCCTCGCACGAGATCGGCGCCGATGACACCCACCTTTCCTCGTTTTCCTGAACTTGACCTCACGCGATAGGCGAATGCCACCGTCGTTTGTGATCTTGAATAGGTTGTCCCGATGGTTGGCCACGGCGTATTCCATAGTTCGTGATTCGTTCGGTCGCACATAGGTGTCACTAGTGGCGCGCACGCGCAGGAACGTCACGTTCGGTGGAAAGCCGACTGGCAACGTGGCTCGTAGCGTGAACCGGTTTCCTGATCCCAGGTATGGAAAAACCGTGCGGCAGTTCACTGAAAGGTACAGAACAGCAACATTGATCAACACCGAACGCATGCTTTTCACTTGTATATTCGTTCACAGAAATTGTTCATTTTCCGGGACGCATGATGATAGCAGAATGAATTCAGCTACCTTTCACGGCTGTTTGTATCTTAAATGGATCTGAATTTGATCAGAACCATGTACAGAAAGGCATCGCATGGAGCCCGGTCAAAGGCAGCACAGTGCATACAGTAGGTAGGCATTAGACATGGACGCTCTAAGGACACCATCAGACATGCTATCTAAATTCATCAGGTAACTCTCCCTTCGGATCAAGTCCTGCCGTCGCGCAGTGTAGCAGGCAGAGTGTAGTCGGTTGAGTGCGGTCGTTGGAGTGCAGTTGATGTGGTGCTGTCGATGTGGAGTGTCATGCAGTGCAGTCAGCGTGCCATGCGGTGTAGTCAAGGTGGAGTGTCATGCGCTACAGTCAGTGTGCCATGCGGTGTAGTCAGTGTCCTAGGCGGTGTAGTCAAGGTGGAGTGTCATGCGGTGTAGTCAGTGTGCCATGCGGTGTTAGTCAAGGTGGAGTGTCATGCGGTACAGTCAGTGTGCCATGCGGTGTAGTCAGTGTCCTATGCGGTGTAGTCAAGGTGGAGTGTCATGCGGTGTAGTCAGTGTGCCATGCGATGTAGTCAGTGTGTCATGCGGTGTAGTCAGTGTCCTAGGCGGTGTAGTCAAGGTGGAGTGTCATGCGGTGTAGTCAGTGTGCCATGCGGTGTAGTCAGCGTGCCATGCGGTGTAGTCAGTGTGCCATGTGGTGTAGTCAAGGTGGAGTGTCATGCGGTGTAGTCAAGGCGGAGTGCCACGCGGTGTAGTCAAAGTGGAGTGCCACGCGGTGCAGTTGGTGTACAGCCAGCCGCATGCTTTTATCTACTGGGGCATGAGAAAAACGACACATCGCAAGTACATCCTGAGCTGACGAATAGTTAATGACGCCTGCGTCGAACATGGTGGTAACAACATCTTGGACAACGTCTGGAAAGGGATGTCTATGTCCGCGACATATATGTCCGTGAAATAAAGGCACATGTCGAGACTCGGTCTGGAGTGACCCACATTGTCCGTGATGGGGACGCAGCGAACTACGAAACGTAGCAGATGACTCATTAGTGTTTGCGTATTTGCGGTAGTGTTTCTGATTATGAAGGTTGTGCAGCGAGATCATTCTTCAATGAGTTCACTGCACAACCTGAAGGTGAGCTCACTGTGCAGCCTGAAGGTGAGCTCACTGTACAACCTGAAGGTGAGCTCACTGTACAACATGTAGGTGAGCTCACTGTACACCCTGTAGGAGAGCTTACTGTGCAACCTGTAGGTTACCTCACTGTACAACCTTTAGATGAGCTCACTGTACTGTAGGCGAGTTGCTGCACAACCTGTAGGTGAGCTTACTGTATAATCTGTGGGCGAGGCATGCACCTTCACCTCACAACACATTTTGCCTCTGCGCCTGACACCACCAGATGAAGATCTGGACTGATGTGACCGGACCTGGTGAGCTAACGTGACCTGACACGCACCTGACCTGACCTGACCTGACTGCTGTCGACGCTCTGCCATCGCGACCGATCCATGCATTTTTGTCGAAGCGCGCCACGTGCCGCACGTGAAGACGTACCGATACCGGCACAAGTGCAACTGACCGGCATCTCCGGCAGGTCAGGTTGTCTCTCGCATCATTCAAAAACACACGGACGGATGATGGACGGATGAAAGGGAAGCGCGCATCGCTCGGCGTATTCACGAGCGTGGCAGAATACCCACATTTAAACGGAATGTTTCGCATAGATAGGACGGTTCCAACAGCCTTATTCCAAAACCAGGAGAATGGAGATATAGATGGGTGGATATTTCGGCAACATGTCTTTATCGAAACAATAGCAGAAATCCTCTTGTGATAGAGCCAGCCGATAGCCGAGTGGGAACACACTCGAGACGATTGCTTGAAGCACCGCGGAAAACCAGCACCAATAGCCCGTCGAGAAACAAGTGCAACTTACGGAATATTTCGCATTTAAAGATATTGAACTAATCATCATATGAGATGGAATAAGCCCACCTATAACTATCGACATACTTTTTCTTTAAAAAGACTGCTACAGACAACCAAATTTATCTTATTAGTAAATGGGCTCCTCAATGTGTCATTGTTTAATTACGTTATGAAAAGTTTATATGGCAGCACTCACTTGTGGTTATAGAATCTCTCGATAGTTGGCCGCGGACTTGCTGGATGTATGCTGAGCCAAATATCGTGGTTCTGCTCGTGCTCGGTGCCCGTGTTTAGCCCTTTCTACTGTTTCTTGCATTATTATCCGTGAGTTTAAGGCGCTTACTTGTATTCGCATGCTCGGCTGTCACGCTTTTCTTAAGTTATTCTATTACAAGTCTTAGCTCTGCAACACCGAGAAAGAATGTGTAACTTCTTATATTATGTAGCTCAAACGTAGTTCGTGTCAGAATCTGGCATAGATTGCACAACATTGGTTGAGAGTCAACTGACGGTCGTGATATCTGGGAATCGTGATCACGAACGCCAGATATGAACGACTCGACAATCTGTTTTACCTGCTGTGCCGCATGACCAGTGGAATGGCATCATTTGAATGACGTTATTATGGCGTCATGAATGCCTGGGTAACCTTGAAATAGTCTACACGAAATGATCTGCGCAACTTTGCAAGCGTGTAGATCTGAAACTAGAGATTTCAGCTCTTAAGAAGAACAGAGCTGTGAACTTCATCGACTGATCTTTAGCCGGCTTTTTTAGTTCAAAACCCCATACAAATGCGTAACACCTCCTTTAAGCGGCTAATATCACGCGTATCTGTTCGAGGCAAATGCTCATGCAAACTGGATGCTCCTGTAGTCCAGGAACTAGAAACCTCATGCAAAAGTGGGCAGTAACTTCGTTTTACAGTCAGTTCTTCCGTGCATAACCACATGCGCTGAGATTAGGGTTCTACTAATGGGGGCAGCATCCTCGGTCCTTCCTTCTCCCCCGCCCCCCTATCTTTCCGCGCTTATGCGACATCTGACCAGCCATCTATCGCAAATCCAAGTGGCAAGGATCTCCTAAAACGCGCCTCATCTCCACCTCACAAGACTGTCGCGACTCATCTCACCTTCCTTCACCCACCATGACACTCGGCTCTCATCTGGTCCGATCGACACTTCATCCCACCCATCCTCCCAAACCTCACCTGGTCCGACCGACACTCTACCTCACCCATCCTCCCAAACCTTACCTGGTCCAACCGAAAATTCACCTCACCCACGCGACTCTCACCTGGTCCGACCGACACTTCACCTCACCCACCGTGACACCCGACTCTCACCTAGTCCGGCTGACACCAGCAGAAAGAGTGTGGGCGTGCAGTCCCTCATGGCTTCAGGAGAGTCCCGCCTCTCCTGCCATCAGAGCCGGACTCCCGACACTTCCCGCCTCCTTCCCGACGGCGAGTCGAGTCGCTTTGCTCAGAGCCGCGGCGTCGCCTCGCGTGCTGTCGTCTACACGGCGCTCGCTCTCGTTTCGGAGGCTCGAAGTGTGGGTGGGACTGGGACTTGGCCGGACGTCTGGGGTCGCCACGGGATGTGACCAGACAGCCGAGGACGCGGCCGGACGGGACGGACGTCTGGGAGCGACAGCGGACGGCTAGGAACGGCTGAGGACGGTTGGGACCGGCAGTGGACGGTTGGGACCGGCAGTGGACGGTTGGGACCGGCAGTGGACGGCTGGGAACGGCAGCGGACGGCTAGGAGCGGCAGCGGACGGCTGGAAACGGCAGAGGAGGGCTGGGAACGACAGCGGACGGTTGGGAACGGCAGCGGACGGCTGGGAACGCAGCGGGAGGCTGGGAACGGCTGAGGATAGTTGGGACCGGCAGCGGACGGTTGGAAACGGCAGCGGACGGCTGGGAACGCAGCGGGAGGCTGGGAACGGCTGAGGATGGTTGGGACCGGCAGCGGACGGCTGGGAACGGCAGAGGAGCGCTGGGAACGGCAGCGGACGGTTGGGAACGGCAGCGGACGGCTGGTAACGCAGCGGGAGGCTGGGAACGGCAGCGGACGGCTAGGAGCGGCAGCGGACGGCTGGGAACGGCAGCGGACGTAAACGGACGGCAGAGAACGTGGCCGGAAGCAGGGGACGGGCGAAAACAACAACGGGCGGCTTGAGACACCCGGTGACGCACTGGCCGTGCCTCCCGCTCTACAGCGACGTCCACCGGGCAAGCTTCGGAGCCTCGCAAACCTGGAGCCGCAGAGGGCCGCTGGTCCCCGGGCCGGTCCAGCACACGTCGGTCACGCTGTGACGCAGCGTGCCCGGTGGCCGCACCCTCGACGCGTCGCAGCCGGCCGCCGTCGGCGATCGTCGACACCGTCGGGGCCGAGTGGCCGAACCGTCGCCGACGACGACCACTACGCCACTGCGGTGCCATCGATTGCGACGTAGCGCGCTCCACGTGTCGCGGCGGCGGCGGCGCCGGCGAGCCGCGCCGAGACGGCCGGCGGCCGTCGCTCGGCGACGCTGCGGAAGCCCCCGGCCGACGGCAAGGCAGACTGGTGTAAGTGGCTGCGGGCGGGTCAGGGCGGGTGGCAGACTGGTGTAAGTAGTGCGGACTGCGGAGTGTCATGCCCAGGCACCAGATCAGTGTGAGTGGTTCCGAGGTATCAAGATCAGTGGCAGACTGGTGTTTGCGGTGCTGGCAAGCCAAAACGGGATGCGATTCGGTGTCAGTGGCCATGGAGAATCACGAGTCAAAGGAGACTGGTTCATATGGCTTCGGAAGATCATGCACGGCCCACAGACTGGTGAAATGGCGGGACAGGATTATAAACGGACAACATACTGACCTAAGCTGTTGCGGGGATCATGAGCGGACGGACTGGAGGAAATAGCCCCGAGGGACCACGGCTCTGTCAGGCAGCCGAGAAGGACCACGGCCGGACGACAAACTGACTTCAGCGGATGTGGCTTCGTAATCAGCAGGCAGGACGGCAGGCATAAGTTGAGGCGGTAAGCCCAAGCAGGCGGCGGCTTAGGATGCCTGTCTCCGGGGATCATGAGCGGAGGACAGGCTGTCGTGCTTGGCGTCTAAAACTTCGGGGTTCTGGATCGGCCAAAGTCAGCGAAAGGCGAGTAACTTGGCCGGGAAAAGCCGCGCAGACGGTAGACGGTGTGCTCGTGTCAATGGAACTGGTTGCGTAAGACTGCAAATAGTACAGGTTTCCCCGACTTCGGAAGACTGCGTACGGACGCAGACCAGCGTACGCTTCGTAGCTTTGTCACAATGATAACTTCGACTCATGTTCCATCCCGATCGATGCAGCACAAGCTACACAAGGGCGCAAAAACAGCACAAATGTCGAGCGTCGAGACAACAGATGGCTAACTTGCACTGGCTGCGACGGAGAGCGTCTGTACATCATGCTGACACGGCGCCTGACGGGAGCGTCTGCACATCATGCTGACACGGCGCCTGACGGGAGCGTCTGCACATCATGCTGACATGGCGCCAGATGAGAACGTCTGCACATCATGCTGGCATGGCGTCAGACGAGAACGTCTGCACATCATGCTGACATGGCACCAGACGAGAACGTCTGCGCATCATGCTGACATGGCGCCAGACGAGAACATCTGCACATCATACTGGTATGGCGCCAGATGAGAACGTCTGAGTTTTCCTACAAAGCAAAGAAAATGTGACGTCATCTGATGACAGTCTCACCGATGCGTGGTCGGAGACACAGCCAGGATCCAGGTACCCAGGTACAGCTGGATCCAGGTACAGCTGGATCCAGGTACCCAGGATCCCTTTTGTGGTGAAACCCGAACAATGCGGGTCTAAGGGGGACGCCCCCACCCCGCCCGCCCACCCGGCCCCCCCCCCCCCCCTCCCTCCCCCTTTGCCGGTTGCGCCTGTATTGGTGTGGTATAGCTGGGCCACTGCAGCTGTTCGACTACGGCTTGCGAAGTGCTCGTTTTTTCATTTCACTGACGTGCATCACCTGCACGCGCTTGGGAAACATCACACGCTGCACCACATGTGCTTCGACAGCGGCTATATGCAATCTGATACCCAGTGTGGGTTGCACATAAAGCGATTACGTGGAACACATCACATACAACGGCGTCGTAGTGAAGCTCGGTAAGCAGAGATAAACTGGTGGGATTTTCCTGAATCTCACCACGGTATGTATTCGACGAAGTTCCGCTTATAAGACTTAAACAAGAAATCAGCCGATTACATATAAAACAAAACGCAGTGCCTTCAGCCACAAATCAAACTTCCTATCAGGTCATAGAAAGCGACTTCACCGCACAAACATGACGTCATTGACGGAGTCTGGTCTGAGCCCTACGCGATGCCCAGCCATCTTCGGGCTCCCTCAAGAGAATTTATTGGGCGTCAATAAATGACTATCCTGCTTCACTTTATGGGAGCTTGATAGGGTAATATTTTGTCAATGACTTCCTGTTAAAGTTTGCCATGGTGGGACATTGTGACATTAACCAGGGGCAGAAAACCTTTGGCAGTCTTGTTCTGTGGGGAAGATAGTGGCAATGGATGGCAGATAGATAGCTGATAGTGGTAGATCTCGTTAAGTCCAATAAATTTGGAGAAACAAATGTGACCGACAGTGTTAATTATATCATCACTCTTTGCACTTCCCGGAAAACATACTGAAAACAAGTTAGGTAGCTTGCTATGTTGGTTAACTTGAAATGTTGGCGTCAAAGGGCTGGAAAGAGCATCGCAAACACTTGGCATGTTATCTTACGGCTTTAAAGGCTGTCCATCAAAAAGAGCACGGGATGTACGTCATACTTCAGTATCAGGGCAGTCGGAGTACCCCTCATTAGTCCGGGGCCCACACAGGACAGTCGGAGTACCCCTCATTAGTCCGGGACCCACACAGGACAGTCGGAGTACCCCTCATTAGTCCGGGACCCACACAGGACAGTCGGAGTACCCCTCATTAGTCCGGGGCCACACATGACGGTCGGAGTACCCCTCATTAGTCCGGGTCCATACAGGACAGCCGGAGCACCCGTCAGTAGTCCGGAGTACACACAGGGCGGTCAGGGTACCCATGAGTACTTCGTGGCCTACACACGACAGTCGGTGTAGGCCACGCCTCACGCCTCAGTACCCGTGGCCCTGACATGCAACACAACATCGGCAAGCTATGACGTGTTCATCGACGTGCTGATGTGGTACCCAACGGGACTTTACAAATAGCAGCGGCGTTACCGCCACGTTCCATTGGTATGTTATTCTTCTCTTAAGCTTCGGAAGAAGCCCAAGCTCAAAATATTTCACAAAATGACACATCAACTCGTGAACAGAGCCCACCGAACGGTGGGCTCTGAACAGAGCCCACCGAACAGAGCCCACCGAACGGACACCCTTAGGCCGGGTGCCAGACATTCACGTAGGATTGCTGGGAAGCGAAGCAGAGTAAAATCCTGCGGTGAACACTTGTTCGTACTGCAGAAGACCATATGAATAATGCAGCGTGACCTATCCGTTATTTTATCATGATCGGGTAATATCACATCGTGTCAGACGCTGCTGTCAACAGGAGGGGATTCTGGCGACTTATTTCCATGGCTGTCATATCACACGCCGTGTTCGCCAACATCGTCATCTATTAAAGACATTTGCACCACAGACCTGTGCGCTTGACCGTCCCTTATTTCAGGTTACGACTGGTGTCACGTTCTTGATGGTCATTGTGTGTATTTAACTTGTATTTAACGAATCTAGGCAGCTGGATATAATTGATGAGTGCAAATATCTCGCAAGAGAAGTGCGTTGTCATTCCTTCTCTGATGAAGATCACCCGGTGGCATTAATGTAACGGCTGTGTGATCTACACGCACGGCGTCCCGTGCGCGGTTGTAATTATTAGCAACGAGTTTAAGCGCGGGAAGTGCAGGTCAGGATTGGCATTCAGAATGCAAGAAAGGCTTCCCAAGCCTTTTATGTCAGTGGTATATGACGAGCACAAGTAATTAATCCACGGAAATCTGAAAAGTTAATCGAAATCCTACAGCGCTCGTGACTTGAAAGCTGTACTCCCAGAGCATGTATGCCTCGCATTCACTTCAAGCGCGTTTCCGGTTATGAAAACCCCGCTGGCATTTCCAGCACCGAAATGAAACTTGACTTTGCAATACATTAATTTGTGTTGATCGATGATTCACCCACCAACGAACCCCAGGAACTGAATGCATCTCAAACCCTCTCAATATTTTAAGCATCCACCTCGCCGGTAAGCATACTGCACAGTGTTAAAGAAGCCTGGCCAAAACTGATGCGTCGTGCTCAGCGAGGGCCGGTGAGGGTGACCTGAGGACGTGCACGGGTTTGTGTGTGCACGCCTGCACGGCAGACAATAGCATGTGAGGTGTGGCAGTGCGACCAGGCACTGTTTGTTCTGTTTGTCGTGATATCGGTCTTTCATGCCGTGCAGTGTTGACATGATCGAATACGGGCGGTATATCCCGGCATGAAATACCTGGTTCATCACTTCCGGTTCTCCTGCCGGTAGTAGCCATCGCCAACGCGCGTGCGTCGACGCACGCGG